GTGCTCTGTCTGATGACATCCTTGAGATAATCTTGTCCTTGTGCAACATTGCTTGGTTGGCCTCCTGCTGATCTCATCCCATTGTATAATGGCTTTCTGCTGGCTCCATCCCATCTTCCCCACAAACAGTGTAGAGGATGCTGTACTTTTTCATAAACATGTGTGGCATAAGACACAACTTGTGCAAGACCTCCTGAGCCCCCATGACCTATCTTTATCTCTGACTCCTGACCCTTCCTCCTCAGGGCTCTGTCACTGAAGAACCTGTTGGTCCAGGTCTCTTCTCTCCCTCCACTCTACCTGAAACAGCTAAGGTACTCTCAGGCAGGCCTTGGGGCTATGATGTTTGGACTTCCCACCTACTGGAAATGTTACAGAAACCATTTTACTTGATAAGTTGTCTGGACTTGGCAATTCTGCTATGGCAACACAACAAGAATGGAGACCTAGGGACCATGGAGGTGCAGGCACAGGTCAGATCTCCAGTTGTTGCCTAGTATCTCAGCGTGAGATTTGCTCACAGGGTCTCAGTCAGGCCTCTCCGAGCTGGTGTGCAGGCTGTTGTTAACTTGACATTAGCTAGTTGAAGAGGGAACCTGGATTCAGAAAATGCCCCTGCCAGATTGGTCTGGAAGCAAGTCTGTGGTACATTTTCTTGATTGGTGATTGATGTGGGAGAACCCAGCTGGCTGTGGGCAGTGCCACCCCTGAGTGGATAGTCCCAGGTGCTTTCAGAAACGTCAAGTAAGCCACAGAGTGCATGCCAGTATGCAGCGCAGCCTCTGCAGCAGCTCTGCCTCTAGGATCTGGCCCCGCTTGAGTTCCGGTCCTGACTTCACTGATGGACTGTGATGTGAAAGTATAAGACAAATCAACACCTTCCTCCTCAAGTTGCTTATGGCCATGGTGTTTTTCACTGAATAGAAACCCTATGACATCTGGTGAGGGCATCCATAGACAAGAGAAGTGAGACTCGGCCAGGCTGAGCGAGCTGCCTGAGCAGTAGGTAGCTAGTCAGGCATTAGCAGGCCTGGAAGGCACTGGGGATTGGCTTCTCGCAGTCAGTAGCCTATTCAAGTGAGGACTGGATGGAAGACTTGAATCATCAGCCAGAGGAAGGTGTTGAAGTCATATCTCTGGGCCTGTGAGTTGTGACATCCTGAACTGCCTGGAAGGTCATCCAAACCCTGCTCCCAGAATCCCTGGTCTGAGATGACGACAGCATGGGGCTTTCTGACTAAGAGTAAAGATGTCTCACTCCTCCCTCCAGGAGAAATGTAATCAAAGACCTGAGGTGAGAGCTAATACTATCGGCATGACAGGCACAGGTCACCTAAGAACAACACTCTAGCATGTCTGTGGGGAGGTACCTATACTGGTTAACTGGGGTGGGAAGATTCACCCTAAATGTGGGTGGCACTATTCCACGTATAGGAGCGAACTGAGCACCAGCATCAGTTAAGTCTCTCTGTGTCCTGGCTGCAGATGTCACGTGACCAGTCACCTCCTGCCGAGCGTACCCTGGAACTGTGAGCCAAAACGAACAATCCCTTCTTCTGAAGGGATCACTCTTTTCTCATCCCAAATTACGGTAGACCAGACTTCCTTTTCAGAGTGTCATGGGGGGATACCTTCACTTCATCAGTGAACATGTGAGCGCGCCCCAGTGTCTCAGCTTCTGATGGATCCAGGACAACACAAGTGCAGCTTCAAGGATGTTTAACCACAGAGGGGCATTCTGGCTATCAGGAGACACAGCTACCAGGATGCAGCCGACATTTTCCTCAGCCACCTCTTAATTTTTTCCTTGCCTACAGAGTGTCAAACCACTGTGGTGGTTTGAACGAAAATGGCCCCTGTAGATTCACAGGGAATGACACTATTAAGAGGATGTGGCCTTGTTAGAGGAAGTGTGTCATTGGGGGTGGTCCTTCAGGTTTCACAAGCTCAAGCCAGGCCCAGCGTCATTCTCTCTTCCTGCTGACTGCTGATCCAGAAGCAGAACTCTTGCCGGGCGGTGGTGGCGCACGCCTTTAATCCCAGCACTCGGGAGGCAGAGGCAGGCGGATCTCTGGGAGTTCGAGGCCAGCCTGGTCTACAAGAGCTAGTTCCGGGACAGGCTCCAAAGCTACAGAGAAACCCTGTCTCGAAAAAACAAAAAAACAAAACAAAAACAGAAGCAGAACTCTTGATTCCTTCTCCAGCACTATGTCTGCCTGCATGCCACCATGCTTCCCAACATGGGAACTATAAGCCAGTCCCAATTAAATGTTTTCTTTTGTAAGAGTTGCTATGGTCATGGCAATAGAAACAGCAATAGAAATCCTAAGATAACCACCACAAAGATTCTGTCTGGGGCATTACCAGTCTCAGAAATAGATCATCATTAAGTCTTAACACTCTCCTGCGGTCCACTTTCTATCTGCTATGACTCACATCCACCTGGTGTCGGCCTATTCCACTCCGCCTGCTGGCCAGAGACAAACTGATCCTGGAGAGCAGAGACCAGACGTTTGCACTTGGTTGTTCTGCAAACTGGTGAGAACTGGAGTCAAGGTCAGAGACTCTGAACCCTATGCCGCCTGCCCCTAGACACGGAGGGTCATAGGGCATCCTTGTCAATGGGCTGAGGATGTAGATCAGTTGGCAAAAGGCTTGCCTGACATGCATGAAGCCCTGGATTCCATCCCTAGCACTAGAGAAACCTAGAGTGGTGGTGCACACCTCTTATCCTAGCAGTTGGGAGACAGAGGCAGGGGAATCAGAAGCTTAAGGTCATCTTTGGCTACACAGTGATTTGCGGTTAGTCTTGGCTTCATGAGATTCTGCAACAACAACAACAACAACAAAATCCAAAACATGTAGCTGTGGGGGAGCAGGCTTTAATCTAATTCCAGGCAGATGCAGACAGATCTCTGGGATTTTGAGGTCTATACAGCAGGTTCCAGGGCAGCCTGGGCTACACAGAGAGATCCTCTAATTAAAAAAAAAAAAAATCAATACCAGTATCAGGGAACTCTATTAGTTCTCAACTTGCTTTGTAAAATCAATATTACTGTAACACCAAAGTCAGATAAGAATCTCACAGAAAAAAATCAGAGCTGAAGAGAGAGCTCAGGGGTTTAAAGCACTTGTTGCTTTTCTGGAGGACCCAGGTTCAATCCCAGCACCCACATGGCAGCTCACAACCATCTGAGACTCCTATTTCAGAGGATCTGTTGCCCTCTTCTGGCCTCCATAGGTATCAGACATGCACATGGTGCAAAGACTGAAATGCAGGCGAAATTCACACACATAAGATAAAAAAAAAAAAAGGAAAAAAGGAAGACAAAACTCTCGTGAACACACACAAAACTCTTCAGGCAAATGTGAGCACACAGAACTCAACAGCATGTGAAAGGGTTCATCCACCATGGATCCATGGGATGTAAGGAGGGCTCAACATGCAATCAAAACTGAGAAACCTGCAAGATGGTAAAGGTGATGCCAGAGGGCCTGTGTTCAACCCCCAGAGCTCATGGTGGGAGGAGAGAATCAACTCTTCAAGGTTCCTCTAACCTCCACACACAATAATAAATTAAAATTAAATAAAAAAAAATAGGGGCTGGAGACATGATTCATCAGTTAAGAGCATTCACTGCTGGAGGACCTAGGTTCAATTCCCAGCACCCACAGGGTGGCTCACAACAATCTGAGACTCTCAGAGGATCTGTCACCCTCTTCTGACCTCTGCAGGTATCAGCTATGTATATGTCTGATTCTGGGACCTGGGTTCAGTTCCCAGAAACCACAGTGTCTCACAAACATCTGGAACTCTAATTTCAGATGTGATGCCCTCTTCTGGCCTCTGTGGGTACTGTGTGCACATGGTGCACATAATAAAAATAGTTATAAAAATAGAGATGCAATTAAATGTATAAAAATTATATGATCATCCTAATAGATGCAGAAAAAGACATTCAGGTCCTTTCATAATAAAATCAATCAACAGAGTAAGTGGAGGAACGTGCCATCAGAAAGGCTATGAGACAAACCCACAGCCTGTATCTATCTCAGTATGAACACTCCAAACTTTTCCAAGGCATGGGTGCCCAGTCTTGTCACTTGTGGAGCACAGTGCTGGAAATCCCAGTCAGGGAACTAAGCAAGGAAAAGAGGTAAAGACATCGAATGAGAGAAGGGGGACACGAAGCCACCTTCCCCCAGATGACATGAGCTTATGCATTGGCACTCCATCAACTGTTGGAAGTGAATTAACTAAAGTCACAGGAGAAGAAGAGTCAACAAAAAGGGCAGGCCTCTATCTATCTACTCATGATGGCTATTTTTCTCCATAAAAAAAGATCTTATAGTGTAACCCGGAATGGCCCTGAGTTTGCAATCCTCCTGTCTCAGCATCCCAAGCCCAGGAATTACAGGCACATTAGCATTCTTGACCTGATGGTGAATGACTGCAACCGTGGCTGGGCTGAGTGGCACCTACTTGAGTAACACAAACTTGGGTGTACCTGGAGAGGTTTCTGGAGCCAAAGTTCCTGAACGTGGGCAGCACCATCCCCTAAGCTGGGGCCTGGATGCAAAACTATGGAGGGGGGCTCACTGAATATATATATTCATTTTCTCCCCCCCCCCCTTCTCCCTGGCTGCCATGCTATGAACTGCTTTGCTCTATCACACAATGATCTGCAGAATGAAGAAAGCAGCCCCATTGGCAACATCCAAACCAATAAAGTACTTGGGAGGAAACTCCATGAAGGAGGTGACAGCCCTGCCCAACTCAGAACATAAATGGAGAATGAGTTCCAGAAATCCGCATGAATACATCCCTGTGCTGAAGCTAGAAGTGTTACGTTTGCCATCCTAACCAAGGCAACCTACAAGTCAATGGTGGTTTCTACCAAAATCCCCATAGCACTTACCATAGAAATGGGGGGAGGGGGTCAAGACTGAAGTTTCTTTTTTTAATATTTATTTATTTATTTATTATGTATACAATATTCTGTCTGTATGTCTGCAGGCCAGAAGAGGGCACCAGATGTCATTACAGATGGTTGTGAACCACCATGTGGTTGCAGGGAATTGAACTCAGAACCTTTGGAAAAGCAGGCAATGCTCTTAGCCACTGAGCCATCTCTCCAGCCCAAAACTGAAGTTTCTATGGAGCCACAGGAGTTCCAAATAGCAAAGCAATTCGGGGGCGGGGATCACACTGGCAAAAGTCAATCACTATAAAGCTCTGCAAAGGCTGGAGGCTGTAGCTCAGTGAGTAGCAGGCCTCTCTGGTATGCACGAGGCCCTGGTTTCCACCCTCGGCAATGCAAAAACCGAGCAGAGTGGTATATGCCTGTCATGCCAGCACTCTTGGGGTGTGTAAGCAGGATAATTCAAGAGCACCCTCATCTATGTAGAAGTTTGAGCCTAGCATGAGATACATGAAAGTCTCAGAAATAAGACAAAGCAAATAAAAGTAGAGAAACCATGATGGTATGGCATATAAACACCCACAGACCAACAGATGGCAGGGCCCAGAAGACACACCCTCACCCATGAGCCAGGCACCTTCCCAGGGGCACCAGATCTCACCTAGGAAAAAGGATCTTTTTTTTTTTTTAATATTTATTACGTATACAATATTCTGTCTGTGTGTATGCCTGCGGGCCAGAAAAGGGACCACACCTCATTACAGATAGTTGTGAGCCACCATGTGGTTGCCAGGAATTGAACTCAGGACCTTTGGAAGAGCAGACAGTGCTCTCCAGCCCGAAAAGGCTCTTCTCATGTGCTAGTTAGTATCGCGTCAATTAGACACAAGCTAGAGACATCTGCAACTTCAACTGAGGAACTGCCTCCAACTAATGGGCCTGTGGACAAGTCTGGGGGTGTGTTTTCTTAATGATTAAGGTAAAGGGCCTACTCCACTGTGGGTAGTGTAATTCCTTGGCAGGGTACTCTAAGACAGCAGGCTGAGCAAGCCATGAGACAGCAAGCAGCACTCTTCAGTAGCCTCCGGTTCAGTTCCTGTCTCCAGGTTCCTGCCTGAATTTCTACCCTGACTTCATGATGGTCTGTAGGCTGGAAAATATGAAATAAACCCTTTCTTCTGCAAGCTGCTTTTGGCTACTGTGGTTTAAACGGAAATGACCCCCAAAGGTTCATAGGGAATGGCACTATTAGGAGGCATGGCCTTGTTGAAGGAAGTGTCACCAGGTGTGAGCTTTGAAGTTCCAATCAAGCCCAGTGTCACTCTCTTCCTGCTGATCCAGATACAGAACTCTCAGCTACCTCTCCAGCATCGTGTCTACCTGCATGCCATCCTGCTTCCCACCATGACAAGAATGGACTAAACCTCTCAACTTGTAAGCCAGTCCCAATTAAACACTTTCCATTGTAAGAGATGCTGTGGTCAAGGAGTCTCTTCACAGCAATAGAAGTCCTAAGAAAGCCATGGTGTTTATTATAGCAATAGGAGACAAAGTAGGATAGAACTTGGTACCAGGAGTGGGGTACTGCTGACAGACCAGACCATGTTGTTTTGGGAAGGATTGTACAAGTGTCTGGATCTGTCAGCTCAAAAAACCATTGAGCGCTTATGGTTTCAAAGATAATAGCCCTCAAAGGCAATGACACTATTAGGAAGTGTATCACTGTGGAGTTGGGCTTTGAGGTCTCATATGCTCAAGTCACTCCCAGTGAGACAGACCACTTCCTGTTGTCTTTGAGTAAAGATGTATTAACTCTCAGCTTTCTCCAGCAACACATCTGCTTGCACACCACCATGTCCCGCCATGATAGTGGACTAAACCTCAAGCCACCCCATTTCATGCTTTTATGAAAGCTGCCATGGATGGTATCTTTTCACAGCAATAGAAACCTAAGGCAGTACACAAGGCCTGATGGATGGCTGTGTGAGAGCCTGTGTGAGTGTTCAGAGAAATGCGAACGACCGACGCCTGGCTTCTGACAGTTTAAGAAGGAAGAAAAACTAACGGGGCCACTCATGTGATATATTTAAACTCAGAATCCATTTCTGGCCAGCTGTGATCAACAGAGACCAGGACCACTGAGATAAATCTGAGAAGGAATTCTTCAGAATCAACACACAGAAGTGTGGTCCAGAGGGGGTCAAGACTGTCTCAAGCTGGCAGCTCAATTTGGTAAACTCGTGTGGTACTGGTTTCGTCACACAAAAGCCACAGGATTAAAGTGATCATGAAAAGAACCCAGGAGAGACCACTGGTGAAGGCGTAACCTTAGCTGTGGTGGAGACCCAGCTTATTTGAGAAGCCAGGATCGTGGGATGCCCACGGGTACGAGGTCTAGAAGACCAGCTGTGTGTTGTGGATGGTAGTACAGAAGCGGAGCTGCCCAGGTCATGAGTGAGCTCGAAATGTCAGCCACTGAGCTTTTACACCGCTGGATTTTGGTGTTGCTGTCACTGTAGCTGTGCCCTTGGTCTTCCCTCTTAAAACAAGATGGAGCCTTTTCTCCCTTTTAAACAGAACCCACAGCTGCAACTTTGAACAACATTCAAAGTATTTTAATTTTTTTTTTTTTTTTTTTTTTTGGTCTTTTGAGATAGACTATCTCTGAGTAGTCTTGGCTGTTCTGGAACTCACTTTGTAGACCAGGCTAGCCTTGAAATCAGAGATCCACCTATCTCTGCCTCCCAAATGCTGAGATAAAAGGTGTGTACTAACACCGCCCTGTAAGTAATTAAATTACAGATTATGGGACTTCTAAACCTTGGTAGTTGGATGGAGTAGAGAGCGTGAAATGGCCACGCATGAAAGAATACCAGTGAGACCTTGTGTTGAACCATATACAAAATTAACTTGGATGATTATAGACTTGGACGCTACTTGTTCTGAGGAGAAAACAAGCCACTTCTTTAATAATACATCAGAAGGTAGGAGTCTGTGGACCTGGGGAGACGGTTCAGTGGATAAAGTGCTTGCCGTGCAAGCATGAGGACCTGAGTTCAGATGCCAGCACCCATGTAAAAACCCAGGTGTGGGGATGCAGTATCACAATCCCAGTGCTAGGAGGAGAGGACAGGATCCCTGGACCTTACCGGCAAATCTCATCAGTGAGAACCAAGTCCCAGTGAGAGACCCGTCCTCACTGGTAGACAGCACCTGAGGAGACACCAGGGACTGACCTCTGATCTGCATGCACACGCACACAAAAGGTAGAGTTTTTGTTTTTGAGACAGGACTGCTATCTAGTCCACACTGGGCAGGAACTCTACCTCTCCTCCCTTGGCCTTTAAAACTCTGGAACCACAACTGTGTCATCATACCCGGCTTAAAATATGGGAACTTTGATCCACTCCCTGGAGGGTTCATGAGCAGCTGGCCTGGGCTGGAGTCCGTCTGCTGGCGAGGGATGAAGGATGGGGACACAGTCTTAGTAGCAGTCAGCTTCATTCTCCTCTAATATACCCACCGTGGCCAGCAGGTCCTGTAGTAGGGACTGTGGGCTCTTTTCCACATAGTCGCTGCTCTTGGCCAGCTTGTCCTGCAGGCCCTCCAAGTCCAGGGACCGCAGGATAGCTAGCATGGCCTCGGGCTCCAGGTCCCCCAGGGGCTGGCCCTGCTCACCCTCCCGCCACCTCTGCAGCACAGCCTCCACAGAGGCTAAGCTAGGGTTATCCCCAGCCTCCTGGGTGCCACTGCAGGAAGATGTCTTGTCCCTCAAGAAGAGAAGCAAGTCACAGGCCTTTTGGGCCACTGGTCGGTCACAGTCAAGCAAGGCACAAAAAGCAAACTCAAAGAGTGGCAGACGGCAAAGAGTTTGCAAGAATTCTGGGTGTGGGCTGGGAGAGGTGGCCTCAGGTAGGCCTACTGTATAGGGACAGCAGAGGCTGGGCTGCCCCATTGCCTGGATGAGGAACACCTGTGCCAGCTCCAAACCCTGCACTCGGACCTCCCAGTCCAGATCCCGGCTCACTGCCTGCAGCACAGTGGCCACAAACCATTCTGTGTCTTGAACCACATCAGCATGGCCATCCCTCAGCCACTCAGTAAAGACCCGTAAGACAGCCCTCCGAGGGAAGCCCTCTGAGTCCGTAGACAGGATATGCATGAGGTCCATAAGTAGGCCCTGCAAGTTGAAGAGTTTCAGAAAAATCAACATGATATTATCACCGTGGCAGGATCCAGAATCACCTACAAGACAAACCTCTAGGAGTAACTGTGATGGGAGTCCTTAGATAAGGCTATAGAGGATGTGCTGGGGTCCCGGACTCTCCGGATCCTGACCCTGACTCATGCACCATGATGGACTGTACCCTCAAACTATAAGCCCCACTATATCCTTCCTTAACTTGCTTTCATAAGGCATTTTGACACAGCAACAAGAAAAGCAATTAATATAGCAATGAGCCAGAAGATACAAGTCCGCGGCCCCCGGGGCCCGAGCCATGTGCTGCTCGCTCTGCCCTTCACACAATGTGCACTGTATGCACCGCTCTTCAGCTTGACCCTTGCCTCCCATTCAGATGGGGTCAGTGTCTAAGACAGGGTGCCAGGAAGAGCACAGGCACTGTGCCCTGTGCCCCCAGCTCCTCGGCAGTCCCTCTGGATAGCCCTACTCTCAGGAGCAGTTGCTACAGATCTGACAGCTGCTTACCCTCTCACTGGACCAACAACAAACGGCTCCTACCTGCTGGGCCTGCTGGTTCTCGGGGCTGGTGGGAGCGGCCTGTAGGCCCCGGGTAGAGAGCTGCCCAGCAGCGCCTACTGCACTTGCTCGGACATAACTCTCGGGGTCTTGGAGGAGCTGGTAGGCAAGCGCGGGCACTTCTGAGGAACGCAGTGCCTCTCTGAAGTCAGCCTGCCCTGGGGATCAAATGCCACACAGTTGTGATCAAATGCCACTCAGGTATTCTAAGAGCCCCAGAGCCAGCAGGACACATAAACATAACACACACTCCTGCCCAGAGGGCGCTCACCTCCCCAGTGTCGGATCAGATGTGTCAGGAACTCCAGGGCGGAGTCCCTCACCTCCCAACACGGGCTGCACAGACGCTTCTGTAGTATGGGGAATAGCTCTGTACCAGGAAGGGGTGGTCAGTGGCCTCTAGGGTCACACTCTGCCTTCACTCAGGGCTACCTTGCTGAACCCCCAACTGTCTCCACCCCAGCTCTCCAGCTTGATACAGTTCTGCAAGGAACCAGGGTTACCTCCAAGGAACAGCAGGGCATCAGTGCTGAGGTCAGAGCAGCTGGGGGTCTTGTGTGAATTCTGGAGCCACCTGAGGGTAGCCTGGAAGGCCTTCTTCAGGACCTAGAACGGGCAGGACAGGCTTGAGAGCAGGAGTGGCGGGCTACCCACGTGGGTAGGGCTGTGTGGCCCCTATTGGAAGCATTCTTAAGCAAGAAGGTCCCCAGGTGAGCAGGCCTCCCAAAACCCATTTACTGTACCATGGGGCTGGACTCTGGGCTCTCGAGGGTCTTCAGGAGAACAGCAAACACCTCCAGCACCAACTCAAGGGGGCCTGAAACAGACATGAACAGAAGCATCAACCCAGCTTCTACCCAGAGCCCACCACCCAGCAGGGAGCATGGACTCCAGGCCTTAAGGAAGCAGGGGTAAGAGTACAGGGTTATAGGAGAACCTGGTAGGGTTACAGAAGAAAGGGAAGAGAAAATGGAACTCAGTGCCAGAGAAAACACCACTCACCCATTCCCTGAGACAGTGTCCCCAAGAAGTCGAGGGCTGCTCGCTGAACACGAACACAGCCACCCAGGGTCCCACAGAGACGACCTCCCACACTGGAGCTGGGGTCCGCCGAGCCATCACAGAGACGCAATATGGTCACCGCAGCTCCCAGCAGGGGCACCTGGGGCCAGGGGGAGGGGCACTGGGGCTGCAGAAAGGAGGATGGGTGAGTAGAGGCCTGGGGTCATAGGACCCGATGGACATAGGCCAGGGCTGCACCTACCAGCATCTGTAGTTCCTCCAGGTGAGCCAGAGTCTGGCAGAGAAGTCCCACACAGGTCGACTTAGATGACAAGAGCGTATCCACAGTCAGCAAGCTATCTGCAGCACCGTCCAGCAAGCCTGAGGCCAAAACCAACAGCATCCCTGTAGTGGCCACCATCCACAGCAGGGGCCAGGTCTCAAGTTCAGGGCCAGGGCTCGCCAAGGATGCTGTCCAACTGTACTTAGTTGAAGGGCTGGGTGGGACCACAGCAGCTCATTCTTCTTTGCCTAAAGATGGAGGTTCCACCCTCCCTGCATACCTGGAGGTCCAGGCGCCTGAGTGGTGGCTTTCAGGATACAGGCCAGGGGCTGGAGGAGGACACTGAAGGCCCGGGTTCTCAGTTCCTGGGGACTGGGGACACAGCACTCTGTGAGGGTTATACTCTGGCTGCAATCTGAACATCCTCAGCAAATTTAGAATGGCTCAGTATAAGCAAAGGTTCAGGCTCCCTAACACAATTCCTCTGCAAGCTACTGTTTAAGGACCAGGATAGGGGGAGAAGCCTAACCAAGGCTTGCAGGCTTGGCCCTGATATCCTCAGGAGCAGTTCCTGGGTCTCAGGGTCCCTAGAAGACCCGATCACACTCCCTGATCAGAGTGACAGGCAATTTCCAGGCTCACAGAGTAGTGTCTAAGTGTGCTCATGTAGTGTTCAATGACCCGAGTAACTTTGTTCACTTTTGTGATAGACCACCCTGGTGAACTGAGCCTGCTTAGGCACTTGCATCCCACACTCAGAAACCCACACCTTTGCACACCACCTGGAGTATACACTATGGGGTTTCAGGAGCCTGGCTCATCCACAGCAGAGGTCAGAGGACAGCTAGAGTTAGCTTTAGGTCTGGGGATATCACAAAACTGTTGTTTGAAACAGTTGTCTTGCTCAGTATGGTGGAGCATGCCTGTAATTCAATCTGTTTAGGGGACTGAGGTGGAGATGTAAAGTTCAAAGACCGCCTGGGAAATTCAGTAAAAACTGTCTCAAAATAAGAAGAAAGTGGGGCTGGGGGTGTGATTCAGTGGTAGAGCCCCTGCCTAGAATCCCCCAGTGAGGGGCTGGGGTGTGGCTCAGTGGTAGAGCCCCTGCCTAGAATCCCCCAGTGAGGGGCTGGGGTGTGGCTCAGTGGTAGAGCACCTGCCTAGAATCCCCCAGTGAGGGGCTGTGGTGTGGCTCAGTGGGAGAGTATTGACTAGCATATATGAAGTTACTGAGTTCCATACCAAGTACTGAGAAAAGGAAAGAGAAAGGGTAAGAAGAGAGAGGAGGGAGGGACAAAAGGAGGCAACCACTGCTTTAATAACTGCCAATCCCACCTAGCTATTCTCCCACCTAACCTATTCTCCTATCTGGCTTCCAGTTTCCAAAGTTCCCCAACCATCAGGGCAACACTCTCAGCAACCCCAATCATACCAATGCTGGAGTTTCAGGGTCCCCAGAGCTAGAGGCCCAGCTTGTGTAGGGCTCAGGCGGTTCAGAGTCTGGGCCAGCATCTCCCACAAACCACAGGCTGAAAAATTCAACACAGGAGACCTGCAGAAAGAAAAATTACTCCTCCACCAGTGCCTAACTGGACAGTACAGTAGTGCCCAGTCCTGAAGATGCCATCCCCTGAGGGGACAGTGCTAAGGCTCTTCCCTTGAAGCATCAGCTGTTCTGAGCCATCACAGGCATCACCACTCACCCTCAGCCCCTGCAGCCACCTGACCTGGCCACGCTGAGGAGGAGGTCCATGAGTGAATGGACAGCTGGAATGGGGTCTCTCTCAAACAGGCAGGCAACAGGAGGACTCAGCCGCTCCCAGAGGACCCCTGTCCAGGGGCTATGGCAGCGCCCAAAAGTGGTGGTCAGTACATTCAGGGCCTGTGTGACCTGTGGGGTGGCTTTGGAATGCAAGGACTCTTCCACATGGTTCACAATCTTCTGAGCACAGATGGGCCAGGCAGCAGCCTCTCGGGTGGGGGACCCTGAAGCCCCATCTTGCATGGCAAGAGCCAGGATGTGTACTAGGAGCTGGCTGGCTGCAGAGGCCACAAACAGGCTAGGGTCTCCCTGCAAGGAGAAGATCGTGTCCACAGCACCTGGAGTGGGCAGCAGAAGGTCAGCCTGAATGAGGAGGCACACAGAGGGCACCTGTCTATCACACCCTTCCATGCCACGGGAAAAGCACCCGGACACCCCTCTGCTCACAAGCAATCCCAACATGTGCGTCTAGCACGCTGGCTTTAGAGCCAATGCAGCTTCTAACGAGTTCTAATTTGTTTCAAGGACAAGCTCATGACCACTTGACAAGACACTGGCACAGAGGCCACCCAGATCCTAGGAGTCAAAGATGACAATATCCCTATAACCATTTGTGCTTATCCTGACAACTCTAGACCACCACCCTTCCCCAGCAGAGAACACTAGACTCAGAGATGCTCAGGTGTTCCGGGGAGACCCCACAGCACAGGCTTTCAAGGCAAGAGTGAGATAGATGAACTGCGGTAGGGCATGGGAGACACTCACCACTGTCAGCCAGGAAGTGCAGGGCGCTGGGGTGGCGTACCAGGGAGCACAAGCCCTGGATCCAGCCACTGCGCACACTGGGCACGCTCCAGGCTGCCCAGCTGAGGGCACCAGTCTCCCCAAAGAGCCCCAGCAACAACTCCCCCTGCTAAGAAGCAAAGAAAGCATCAGGGAGGCAGAGGAAGAGGCTTTTCTGTGGGTCAGGATTGGGAGAGCCAGGCTCAGCTGGGTGGTGCACACCTTATAACCCCAGAACTGAGAGGCAGAAGCAAGTGGGTCTCTGAATTCTAGCTCAGCCAGGGGCACATGGAAAGGCCTTATCTCAAAAATGAAAACAAGGGGCTGGAGAGGTGGCTTGGGATTTAAGAGCACTGGCTGCTCTGGTAGAGAAACCAGGCTGGGATCCCAGCACCCACATGGTGGCTCACAACTATATAAATCCCAGTGCCAGGGGATCTGATGCCCTCCTCTGACCTCCACAGGAACTGAAATACATGTGGTCCACAGACATTCTGTATATAGAACACCCACAGACATAAAATAAAAATAAACACCAGGTGTGGCAGCACACACCCTTAATCCTAGCATTCAGGAGGCAGAGACAGGAGGATCTTTTGGAATTAGAGGCCGGCCTCCACCTGGGCTGCAGAGCAAGCTCTAGGACAGCCACGGCTACAAAGACACTGTCTCAAAAAGCAAAAACAAAATAATTAATAAGTTAATAAGTAAATAAAGTCTTGGGGGAAAAACCCTCAAATAACGAAATGAAAACCAACAGGATTGGTGAGGCACCAACTGGTGCCATACAGCTGTTCTCAGGCCCCGGCACCATCTGCTCTGCCCTCATGAGAAAGGAAAAAAGAGGTCAGAGGAAGAACAAACATTTCTTTTCCTTCTTTCTTTGTAAAATTTCTACTATTTTTCAACTTTTTAAATTATGTGTCTATGTCTGAGTGTAGGTATGTACATGAATGCAGGTGCCCGTGGAAGCCAGCAGAGGGCACCAGATCCCACGGAGCAGGTGGAGTCACTGCATGTGGAGCACTGTGCTCTCTCCCCCATGCAATCCATGACGTGCTGCAGAGAAAGCACCTGCGGTGTCCTCCGACCCTCACAGGCCCCATCAGAAAGAGAACATGGCAAGGATCACACAGCTGGTGAGAACAGATAGCCAATCGGCATCATCCCTGGTGAGGATTTCCAAGGAGGAGCAATGTGGGGGACACTGGGGTTGAAATCCTGAAGCAGTGGCCCAGCCACTGAGACCCAGGTACTGAGATGGCCCTAATCCAGAGGGAGAAGATGACTCCCCCTAAGGGACAAGCACACAGGAGACAAAGACTCACCTGGAGGTACTGGAAACAGTCTTCCTGGGCTGCAAAGATCCCAACAAGGCGTAGAGCAAAGGAGAGGACCCTGGGGCTCACGTCCTGTGGCTTCAGCACATGGGACAGTAGCTCCATTAGGCAGGGGTGGTCCTGCAGCAGTTGGAGGCTGGACTCTGTGGAGACAGGATATCCCAAGAGAGCAGTGACCAGAGAACCTCTCTAAAAGTGGCTCACACATCCCTATCCTTCAGGATTGAGTAGTCCTGGGGGAAGGTTGCAACAGATAGCTCCTAACCTAAATTCATTAAGGCAAAGACCCCAGAGAGTCAATGACTGAGCAGTAGATAAAAGACACAGACAAGAACCATAGACAAGTAAAGAGCTGGGGCTGTAACTCCACAAACAGCACCTGCCTAGACTCCACCAGTGAAGGGCTAGAGTGTGGCTCAGTGGTAGAGCCCCTGCCTAGAATCCCCCAGTGAGGGGCTGGGATGTGGCTCAGTGGTAGAGCACCTGCCTAGAATCCCCCAGTGAGGGGCTGGGGTGTGACTCAGTAGTAGAGCACCTGCCTAGAATCCCCCAGTAGGGGAGGGAGGGAAAGAGGGGAAAAGGGAGAGGGGGAGAGAGAGAAGAAATAAAATAACAAGCTATTAAAGACAACATTGCATTTTAAAAAAAGCGGAATTTACAATCTCAGAAGACTTTTACACACCTCTGAGAAACCATTACATGGACAGATTGCCAAACAGCAGAAGCTAATCTCATGAACAAGTAGGAAAAGTGTTCATTCCAACATGTAAAAACTTTTTTTTTTGAGGCAGGGTCTCCTGTAATCCAAGGTAGTCTTGAATTTGTTATGCAACTGAGGCTGGCCTTGAACTCCTGCTCTTCCAGGCTCCATCTTCCAAATGCTAAGATTATAGATTTGTAGCACCATGCCTGGCTTTTCCTTCTGGTGGGAGACAGAGGGCCAAAGCTAGGACGGGCCCAAGGGCCTCAGGAAAGGTAGGCAAGCACTTTTCCTGAGCTGCCGTTGTCATTGTTTGGGTTTTTTGTTTGTTTGTTTTCTTTGTTTATTTGATTTTAAACAAGGTCTCCTAGCCCAGGTTAGCCTTGAATTTACCATGCAGCTGAAGTTTACCACCATGAACGCCTGATCCTCCTGCCTTTGGCTCCCAAGTGTCTGCCACATCTGGCTACCAACCCTGTTACTCTTGTTTTTAACAGCTTCTGGCCTTGAACTCACTGTGCAGCCTAAATAAACTCATAATCCTCCGGTCTCAGCTCCCAGTAGAGGGGATAACAGGCCTGCACCAACAGGCATAGCTCCATCGTGTGGGACATTTTAAAAACCGAGGGAAAGCCGGGCGGTGGTGGCACACACCTTTAATCCCAGCACTCGGGAGGCAGAGGCAGGCAGATCTCTGTGAGTTCGAGGCCAGCCTGGTCTACAAGAGCTAGTTCCAGGACAGGAACCAAAAGCTACGGAGAAACCCTGTCTCGAAAAATCAAAAAAAAAAAAGAAAGAAAAACAAAACAAACAAACAAACAAATAAATAAAATATAAAAACAACAACAACAAAAAAAACTGAGGGAACTGGGAGAAAGGTGGGAGGAGGAACTGCCTACCAAAGGATACCTATCTATGGGGGGACAAAAGTTACAAAATGAGTCCAGACACCCCCTAAGTTGACTGAAACCCACTGAACTGGTACACCTCATTTCCATTCATTTATTTTAATTTTTTTATATACATTTTCGAGACAGGCTGACCCTGAACTCACTAAGTAACCGAGGGAACACTCCTGCCTCAGCCTCCCTAATGCTGTGATTATAGGTGTGAGTCACCACGCCTAGCTGAACTGGGTAAACTTTAAATACGAGAACTCTGGCAGGTAAATCACATCTTGATAAAGCTGTTTAAAAACACTTACTGGTCAGATGTGGTGGCATACACCTTTAAACGTGGCACTTGGGAGGCAGAGGTGGGCAGACCCATGAGTTCAAAGCCAGCTTGGTCTAGAGGGTGAGTCCAAGCCAGCCTGGACTATACAGCTGAATCCTGCCTCCAAAGAAACCCAAGTTGTGAAAGGGGCTGGGGAAATGCTTCCATGGATAAGACAGGCACAGAAAGCGGGAGGATCTGAGTTCGAATTCCCAGCACTCACAAAAATGCCAGGCATGTCTTTGCATGCCTCTAATTCTAGAGTTGGAGGAGAGCTGGAGACAGACAGATCCCAAGGACTTCCTAGCCAGCTAGCCCAGTTTCCTGTAACTTCAGGTTCAGTAACAGAGCTTGTCTCAAGGCAATAGGTAGAAAGTGAGGGGAGATGCCTAATATCCCGCTCTGACCTTTGTCTGTAGACGCCTATGTGTGCACGAAGAAGACACGCACACACACACAATCCTGTAAAATTACTTATAGAGACTTGGCTACAAACTAGGCTTCTAGGACTGGGGAATGGTTCAGTAGGTAAAGCTTTCAGTGCGGGACCAGAGTTCAGATTCTCAGAATCAATATAAATACTGGGCAGGCAGCACTCCAGACAGAGACAGGGGACCCTCAGCTGTCCTGCTAGAACAGCCAAACTGGGAAGCTCTTGGTTCAAGTGAGAGGGAAAACAGAGACGCTGCCTCCGTATATAAGGTGGGACACGACTGAAAAGGCAATGTCAACCTCTGGTCTCCACACTGGTGAGCAAACATGTACACATACATAGGCAAACAAACACACACATATCACATGTCAGGCGTAGTGGAGCACACCTTTCATCCCAACACTTGAGAGGCAGAGACCTGGGGATCTCTGTGAGTGCAAGGCCAGCCTGGTCTACAGAGCTAGTTCCAGGACAGCCAGGGCTGTTACTCAGAAAAACCCCAACTCAAAAACAAAACAAACAAAGAAAAACCCTAAATTACAAAAGTACCATGCAGCTAAACTTGTAGTAAGCTTCAACTAACATGTCACTTTTACAAGACTATTGCCCTTTTAAATCCTGAAACTTAGAAAACAGGCAAAACGAAACACAAAAGAAAAGATAAAGGCTGGGGATGTGGCTCAGTTGGTAAAGTGCTTCTCTGCCATGCACGAAGTCTTGGTTCCATCCTCAGCATCCAATAAACAGGAGGACCAGAGGTTCAAGGTCATACTAGGCTACTTATTGAGTTTGAGGACAGCCTAGGCTACACTAGACCATGTCTCAAAAGAAAAGGAAAAGAAAACCAAGGAAGAAAAAGGTAGGTATTAACGGTAAGACAAGGACCATGGACCCTGTCAGAAGACAAGGATCAACCATAAGAGGAAAAAGTTCCAGTTGCCAGGGTACTCACGCACAAGGAAAGCCGGTACAGCACTATTTATAATAACAAAAAATTGGAAACACAAACAATGCAAGTGATTATAAATTAAGATCCACCCACACAGCAAAATTGTAACTCAGACTGGCCTTGAACTCACTATGTAGCGCTGGCTGGCCTCGAAGCTGAGGCCCAAAATGCAACAAAGATAGCTAAACAATGCAGGCGCGCTCTCTGCAAACACCTAATGTGAACTGGACAGCAGGAAGCCTGAAATGTGGATGGACTCCGATGGGACTACTGCCCCAGTGCCCCATCTTGGCTCTCCCTCACCATCCAGAGTGCCTCAAGGAGGTGAAGGAAAGACACCAAACCAATGGACAGTTATACGCCACGCCTGTACCTGTCTCCATCACTGTTTTAAACCAATCCAGCAGTTTCTCCAAGCAGGTGTCATCTGCCACCAGCTGCCTGGGATCTGCCAGAACAGCACAGAGAGCAGGGAGGAGCCTGGAGCATTCTGGGTCCATGATCAGGGCAGCGGTTCCTACGGAGGAAGCAATGGATCAGTCACGATCATATCTGGCTTCAGACACCAGCCTTAGCAACCTCCGATGTCTGCTATGATGGGGGAGGGGCCCAAAAAACTTCATTAGGGCCAGAACTCTTGAGCTCACACAGACACTAAACTCAATCAGGGGAACCTGGTGGGTGAGGAAATGTTAATCAGAGCCACGAGGCCTTTGGTGTCGAGTCGACTTAGGGGTTTGGTGCGTTGAGGTGGAGGCGCAACTTGCCTACTGACCTAGCTGCGGGGAGAACAGAGTCAGGGGATCAGCCAAATATGCAGGGGACTGTCCATCCAGGCACCTGACCCTAGAATCTGCTCTCAACGGTCAAGAGAAACCTGCATGAGACCCAGGAATGCAGAGGAATGTGCATATCACAGCCCAGGTCGGTAGAGGCTGTAAGTGACCACCCTGCGGCCTGCATCGGAAGGTGTCCATTCAGGACAGAAATATGCATCTTGGAGGAAGATGTCGGCCCGGCGCGGTCCGTCTCAACTCCAACATTCGTCGTCCGTACCTCCCAATTCCGGGTAAGAGGTGCGCACTCCGCGTTTCGAGGTAGCTAGGGTTCGAATCCCGCCTCCGCGTCTCTCTGTTATGGGCCTAGGCCCGAGAGTGCAGAATGCACCACCAGGCCCCAAGTGCCTGTCCGGAGCTCCTACTCCGCGTTACCGGGATCTGAATCCCTGAAATGCTCACGACTCACCCGCAGAGGTTCCGGTGTCTGCTACAGGCCCCGCCCACGCCTCCGCAAATTCCGCTCCACGCCGGCCCAGGCCCCGCCCTCCCCAGGTTCTGCCCCGCCCCAGAGTACGTTCCACGCAGCCGCAGGCCCAGCCAGACACCATCACAGGTCCTGCCCCCGGGCGGGAGTTGGCTCCACCCGGTCTCTTCAAGTCCCACCCAGCCCGAGTTCGCAGCACGCAGCCGAGGCCCTGCCCCTGACGCAATCCCTTTCACGTGGCTACAGGCTCCGCCCCTTAGTGCTGCGGGTTCCGCCCTCCTCCGCTTGAGTCTACGACTCTACAGGCCCTGCCTGTACCACGTGACAGTCATGGGGCGAGAAAAAGTGAGGACGGTGCCCTTGGGGACCAGTCATGATCATGAACGCCGCTCCGATCACCTCTAAGACTCAAAACCCTGTAAATGCACTCAGTTGAGTACAGCTTGGGATTTTCACTCACTCGAAAGCACCACACCATCCAACTCCGACGCTAAGTGTTGCACGCCCACTCAGAAAGTGGGCGGAGCATCGTCAAGGCGGCCTCGGTGTGGGCGTGGCTATTCACTGGAAGGCGAGGCCTCGCTGGCCTCCGGCCACGTGTGGACATTTATGGTCCCTGCCTTTTGCTAGCTTTTGTTGTTCCCGGCTGCAGTGAATGAAGGCAGGACCTGTGATGGGGCTTCCGGTGCTGAAACTCTCTGCTCCTACAGTGGCTACCGCTAAACTCCGGGAACTAGAGTATCAGGACCCTCCAGTTACCAAAGCCTGCAGTTGTGTAGCTCTTCACGGCCTCAGCCCACTCTGCTAGTGATAAAGATAAAAAGTAGGCAAGCGGGGGCTAGATAGGTGGTTCAGTGGTTAAGAGTATCCCCAGCCCTGAGGTCACCCACACAAACACATAAAAATATCTCTCAGGGCTGGGCGGTGGTGGAGCAAGACTTTAATCCCAGCACTCAGGAGGCAGAGGCAGGCGGATTTCTGTGAGTTCGAGGCCAGCCTGGTATACAAAGGGAGTTCCAGGACAGGCTCCAAAGCTACAGAGAAACCCTGTCTCAAAAACAAAAAAAAAAAAAAAAAAAAAAAAAAAAGAAAAGAAAAGAAAAAAATATCAGGGCAGAGCGTGGAGGCTTTTGCCTTTAAGCTCAGAATTGATGTGCCTATGTAAGTTTAGGGCTAGTCTCGCTGTCTCAAAGTATTTTTTTCTTTAAGAAAAAATTCTTTTTCCTCCGAGCGGTGGTGGCACACTTGGGAGGCAGAGGCGGGCAAATCTCCGTGAGTTCAAGGCCAGCCTGATCTACAAGAGCTAATTCCAGGACAAGCACCAAAAACTACAGAGAAATCCTGTCTGGAAAATCAAAAGAAAAAGAAAAAATTCTTTTTCAAGTAAGTAAAGAAAGCACTCAAAGAAAAGCCTTGTCTTGAGTTTTAATGTTGCAATATCACCCAGCTGGGGAGAGCTCTTTACTCAGAAACAATGCGGGCTGGGAAATGGGCTAGTCAAGTGCTTGCTTTGCAAGCATAAGGACCTGAGTTTGTTAGTCACCAACCGACAGGGTGAGGTGGAAGAAAAAGCAAGGTATGGTGATAGACACTTGTAATCCTAACACTGAGGAGGCAGAGGCAGGGTGACCCCGAGCCAAATGAGACACAGTGTTTGCACTAGCACTGGCCTGCTGGGCCACCAGCGAAGTGCTTGTCAGCAGAGCGTACAAAGCGGTTGGTGCAGGCCGATGGATAGTTCTGGTGTGGACTGTCCCTTCCTCAAGGCGAAAGGCCCCAGGTTTAACAATTAGGGAGTCACTTTGGCCCCCAACATCTCAGATTATTTAGAGGAAAAATAAACATTTAAGTAGGCGCCTATCACTAACGATGGTGACTTACACTCTGTCCCCTGTGTCCACTCAACATGGCGACCCTTGGAAGCCCTGCCCACTGGACTACACAGTTGCAGCCACTATCTGCAGAAACCCAACTCGGGCTCCTGAAGTTGCAGCTGAGAGCGTGGCTCCGAAGTAGAGAGCCGGCCTTGCATGCAGGAGGCACTGGGCTCAATTCAAGCAGCACCAGAAACCGAAACCCCACCAGCGTAGTGCAACCTCGGGAGAGTGCATGGTCGGCCCCCAAGCCCGCGCTCACTCTGCGCGCGCGCACGGTTCGCCAGGCTCCAGGGGAAGGTCCACATCCGGGGCCCTGTGGCCGCGGCACGGTTGCCATGGCAGCAGGGCTGCTGGCTGGCCTCCCACGCTGAGGGCCGAGCTCGCAGCGCCCAGGAGGCCGCGCCGCGCCGCCGCTATGAGTCTGGGTACCGCGGATCTAGCCTCGGAGACGGTAAGGAGGCCCGCGGCAGCGGGAGGACAGGCGTACGGCAGCAGCCAGCTCCCGCAAGCCGATTGTTACCGCACAAGAGCTAACCCCGGGCGTCGGCCGCCACCGTGCCCGTGCCCGTGCCCGTGCCCTAGCAGCCTCTAGCTCCGGCCCGCGCTCGCGGAGGCCGCTGCTTCCACGAAGCCCCCGGGACTGCGCCGTCCCGCGCGCGCTGCGGGTCAGAGGCTGCGACTGGCTGGTGACGAGCTCACCTCGTAAGTGTTGCTGCAGGCTGCACTCCAGTGACTCCTCAGAGCGATCCCATGCAAAGGAGAAGGCCTCCACCCCCAGAGCCAACCCTGTATGAGTCAGAGAGGCATCTCTAGAAGAGGCGTGCTACCCTCGGTCTCCCAGTGCGGGATCGACCCTCTGGCCCTCTGTGCGTGCCGGTACCAAGTGAACTTTGTGCATTCCAGTGGGGGCTATAAGACAGGGCAATTCCTCGATCTCAAGGACAAAAGTTTAGGGTCCGCGGGAACAATAAATGCAAAGGCTATGAGGCGGGAAAGTGTGTATCCAAAGGACCCAAAGCAAGCCCTCTGGGATCATATCGAGAAGGGGACTGAAGGGAGGTAGGCAGGAACCTGGCCACGAGCAGAATGACTTATCAAGGGTCCGGGACGCCCGAGGGAGGGGAGGTTTCACACAGACTAAGGGACTGTGCTTCTAGTCAGCAGAGAGCAGCTAGGGTTTCTTACTTGTCCCTGCTGGGGAGACTTCCCAAGTCTTACTTAGTTTAGCAGGTCGGTTGCTGTTTGCTTTGTGTGTGCTCTTGGAGGCTGAACCCTTCAGGCCAGGCCAGAGCTCTACAGATGAACCTCCCCCACGCGGCCACCGGGGGATTCTAGGCCAGCACTCGACTGAGTGTCAGACCCCTACCCCAAGCAAGTGCTCTGCCACTGAGCCACAACCCCCAGCTACCCCTGAACTCTCCAGACCTTGAAAAAGTTAAAACCTTCCTGTGGTCAGTCAGCGGTGGATCTCTGAGAGTTCAAGGCCAACCTAGTCTACAGGGCAAGTTCGAGGACTGGCTCCACCGCTACTGAGAAACCTTGTCTTAAACCCCCCCACACACACCCCACCTCCCCCCACCCCCCCACCCCACCCCCGCAAACGCAAACTGTGTTTACAAAGATAATGCGTTACTCTTTCAGTCTTGGGACATTACCTATAACCTGGCCATCTACAGAAAGCCAATTCATGTTTGTTTGTTTTTTTATTTACATCTTTTCCCCATAGGTTAAAACATCATATTTCTATTGTTCTGTAACTATTACCATTAACTTCATTGTTAACACTTTCCATATTTTTTTAAAAATGGTCTGACTTTGTATGTAGCCCAGGCTAGCCTCAAATTTGGTTTCCTTCCGCCTCGATTTTCCAAATCATGACTTGTACCACCTGGAGGTGCTTTCCAGACTGTAACCAAGACCTGGAGAGAAGGACCCAGGGATAAAATGCTTGCCTGCACTAGGACCGGAGTTCAGATCTCCAGAATCCACCGCAAAGCCGCATGGGCACAGCTGCTGCCTGTAACACCGATGCTTAGGAACTGGAGACGGGATTCCCCTGGGCAAGCCGGCTAACTAGACGAGCCACAATTAACGAGCTCTGGGTTCAGCAAGAAAGCCTGTGCCACAGTGGAAGGGAGTGAAGGACACACAATGACTATTTCAGATTTACACACAAACACACACTCAGGAACACATACACAGATGAGCACACCAGATAGATATAGCCACATACACATAAAAATAAAGTATATGGGGGTGGGGACTGGACAGATAGCTCAGTGGGTAAGAGTAGTTGTTGCTCTTTCCGAGCACTGGAGTTTGGTTCCCAGCACCCACGTCAGAGCTCACAACTGCCTGTAAGTCCACCTCCAGGGGATTTGGCACTTTCTTCTGGCATCCACGGGCACCTACATACACATGCATGCACGAACACACACACACAGAGTTTAAATACCTTTAAACAGGAAAAATGAAATCAAGACATGTGTAATCACTGCTCTGCTCTGCCAGGACATGGCCTACTTTGAGTGGAAGGTGACTAAGGGTCAGACTGGTGACACAGGGAAGAACGGAATGCCTCTCTGGAGTTGAGAACACTGTCAAAGGCACAGAGTAGTCCTGAGGACCCACCATATCTCTGGACATAGACTCAGTTGGCCAGGCAGAATCTCTAACCACCCCACAGCCTTCCTCTTCCTGTGTGTATTCATGAATGGAGGCCCAAGGAATGTCACAGGACAGTCCTCAAAGACGTTTTCCACACACACGCCTTGTTTTGAGGAAGGGTCTCACACTGGCCTCAAATGCACGCAGTAGGCTGGGCGGGTTGGCCATTGTGCTCCAATGATCCGCCTGTTTCTACCCCAGCACTGGATCGAATTCGGGTCCTCATGCTTGATCAGCATGTACTTTTCCAACGCGGCATCCCCTGCTCCCAACCCTACTGTCTGACTATCGGGATACACTGGCCGCTGAAGGATCAAGATGTCACATGCTGTTGCGTGACATGTGCTGGGTCCTGTTGCTGGAGCTGGGACAGGCAGTTTGCAAATGGGACTGGGGAACTCGAGCAGTGCCTTCCAGTGACCCTGTATGCAT